TCCATAATAATATTTTAAAAAAGTAAGTAAAATAATAAATAATAATAGATATAATAACAATAATAAATAAATAAACAAATAATAAATGTAATAGTAAACAATGAGAGTATAATTGACATTTAATATTTTTGTTCCTCACGTTCATTTCTACTGTACTACGCAAACGGTGCAACCTGATATAGTCGGCCATGGCTAACCTCCCATATTGAGCTGTCAGTTTGCTATGTTTTGGAAAACGCGGATTGATATTCACGCCCATAGAAACATCTAATCGTCATAAGAAAACTTGTTGAATAAAAAATAAATAAAAAATAAATATAAAAAATAAATATAAATAAAAAAAAAATAATATAAATATTATTTTTCCCTAAATCGCCCTTTTTTTCATTTTCAATCTGGATTTTTTTAAATTAATTATCAAAGTCAAAAAATTTCACCAAGGGGGACGAAAAGAGTGGAAGTTGAGGAGAAATCGCTCGCTACGCCTATGCGTACTTTTAAGGAGGAATGGTATAGAAATTCAAAACATTCAGAATCTTTTGATATTTTGGGAAATGATTTGGTTTTATACAGTACGAAAACCTACCACGTCAGTCATATCCCATGAGTGGGAGTGAGACAGACTTATGCGATTCCCATACTTTCCTATGACTGACGGATAGCTTTTCTTACTGTATAATAAAGTTACCCACCAAATTTCAGAATTTTTCACTAAATAGTTTACAAGTTAAAAATTATTTAATTTTACATTACGTCTTATGGGGAAAGCACGAATTTGCATGTTTATCATTAAAAATTTAATACTTAAAACATTCAGATTTTTTTGCAAAAATTGTATCTTGAAGGTCAAGATTTAAGCTTTATTAATCACGAAGGTTCTTTTTTATTCACTAATTAGTTTAAAAGTAATTAATTAGCTTCTGGAAGAAAACTAATTTTATGACAGACAAACAGAGAAAACGTGGCAACACTGTATATAAAGTCTCACATGTGACAGCTGTTTAGTGGTACATAGAACCAAGAGATGGCGCCAAAGGTACCAAAAATGACAAATTTTCATTATTTTTAACCACACAAATGCAAATCATAACACTTGACACTGTTACCAACGATCAAAAAACAAACTATTTGCATTGCGAGGTTGTCACGATTAAACGCTCATTACAAATTGTTATTTGACAATGTTTATAATTAATAACATTAATATTACAGCATAATAAGACACATATATACGTATTAATAGCATTTTTTCAAAGTTTGCAATGGAATACTCGATAAATCCGAAAATAATTTTTAGAAAATTTCAGTAACTTTTATCTTCTTAAGTTTTAAATTCGTACAGACAGTAACAAAAATTATTTTCTGCTTTTATGAAAAAAATTAATTTCATTAATTTATTATCTTTTCCTTATTTAATATATACTTTTTAATATTCATTGATGTCTACTTTTATGATTTCAATAAGAAAAACTGCTATATGTAGTTTAAATAACAAAATTACAAATTCCCCTAAGTGTCACAAACTTTTGGCCCGATTAGGTATACCATTCCTCCTTAAATATTTCCCACCGTGCAGCGTCCTTAAAATAAAACGCAGTGACAGCTATATTTTTCGCGTCATGTGAATTTCATTGTGATTTCAGTGCTAAATTATTAAAATGAAATATTTAAACTACCCCAAGTGCGAAATGCCAAGACTGCAAAAACGGCCCATCATTGGTGCAGTAATGTCTGCCGAGAATTGGCACTTTAATGGCAAAAAATTTGTATCGTTCATGGCAAATTATAATTACCAGTATTGGGGAGTAGCTTGGCTCAATAACGGCACAATATTGGCAAAGTTGATCAATCTTTAATGGCAAAATTCAATTGCCAGTGATGTCACGAAGATCGGACCATTAATGGCACATTAGTGGCACTTTAATGGCAAACATTTTGTATCTTTGATGGCAAATTATAATTGCCAGTATTGGGGCGTAGCTTGGCCCAATAACGGCACATTCACGGCAAAGTTGATCAATCTTTAATGGCAAAAGACAATTGACAGTAATGTGACGAAGATCGGCCCATTAAAGGTACATTAATGGCATTTTAATTTGGTAAAATTTTTTATAAGAATTTAATTTTAAGAAACATTAAGTTATTTAATAAATTATTTATTTTGTATTTAAATAATTGAATAAGCTTGAAAAGGATTCAAATTAAAATATTTGAAACTTTGAATTTTCTATATTTTTAACTGTCAATTTTAAAGAATTAATTTTTTTGAAAAAGTTTAATTAAGTATTAATTTAAAAAAGAAGTTATTAATGTTTTCAAATAATTTTACAATTAAAGAAATTCGTAAATAAATGTAACAGAAACCTTTTTTTGAGTAAAATTTTTCCTTTATTATCTAAAAATTAAGAAATTTTCAATTTCACTTTCAATTAATATTTGCAATTGACAAATAGAATTTATAAACATTTTTTTCCTTTATTTTTTAAAAATCTTTGAATTTTTCTTAAAGCAATTGTAATTAAGAAATAAAAATGATGCAAATTATTTCCTTAAGAAAATTTATTGAATAAATGAATGTTTTTTAAAATTTAATTCTCATAATTCAATTTTAAGAAACATTTAGTTATTCAATAAATTATTTATTTTTGCATTTAAATAATTAAATTCTTGTAGAATTTTCTAGTAAAAATTGATTTCAAAATGGATTCTAGTCAAATTTTTAGATAATAATTAAATATTAAAGATATGCCATGAATTTTGATATTAAAATTTTTTGAAATTCAATTGCCAATGATGTGACGAAGATTGGCCCATTAAAGGCGCATTAATGGCACTTTAATGGCAAAAAATTTATATCGTTCATGGCAAATTATAATTACCAGTATTGGGGAGTAGCTTGGCTCAATAACGGCACAATATTGGCAAAGTTGATCAATCTTTAATGGCAAAATTTAATTGCCAGTGATGTCACAAAGATCGGACATTATAGCACATTATTGGCACTTTAATGGCAAAAAATTTGTATCTTTCATGGCAAATTATAATTGCCAGTATTGGGGTGTAGCTTGGCCCAGGAATAGCACATTAATGTCTATCATTTTGTATCTATGATGGCAAATTATAATTGCCAAAATTGGGACGTAGCTCGGCCCAATAATGGCACAGTATCGGCCAGTGTAGTGTAGCTTATAAGAACCCTTTTGCTTCCTCGACTTCAAGTCAGAGTAGCAGAGTGGTCAGAGTGTTAGGCTGTGGTGCGTCAGGTTCAGGTATCGATCCCCGCAAGAGGTAAGAATTTTTCAAATATTTGTAAGTTTGCGTTTAATTTAGGGAAATAAGCCGTATAAATGTTATAAATTAATTAGTTAATTAAATAAAAAAAAATTTATTTTTATTTTTTTCTAATTTTGTCTACACTGGGGGAGTAATGGCAGCTAATACTGGGCCATTAATGTCTGCTGAGATCTAGCTGCCAATAATGGGCCATTAATGTCTGCCGAGATCTGGCTGCCAATATTGGGCCATTAATGTCTGCCGAGATCTGGCTGCCGACGTCCAACCGCGGTTAACACCACAAGAGTCGGCGCAAAGTCGGGCCAATATTGTCTGCCAAGTCTCGATGCCAGCTTTGCCAATACTGGGCCAGTGTTGGGCCGCGTTGGTTTTCGCACTTGGGACACTGAGAAAACTGGAGAGTCAAATTCAGAGGTTCAAAAAGTGTATGTTTCCTTTGCTTATGAAGAGAGTTAAATAGTCCTTCTAAAATAAATTTTGAATTGATAATGGAAATCTACTTGTATATTCTCTCCCATTATATCTGAGGGTTAAAAGTTGCGCAGAAAATGTGTACGATCTGATGCGTGCGAAATTATTTTTCTGACATTTTATGTATTTAGTTTAGGGGTTAGGTTGCCATATTTATTCATTTCGCGCCAGATAAGGAAGGGATTTCTCAAGATGGTTAATTTGTCCTTCTGTTATAAACTCATTTTCCCTCCAAGAGAAATGGCACGAATATCTGTCAATGGTGTATATGAACATTTAGATTGTTATCCAATAGCTAACTCTCAAATATCAACGATTTGTCCCTCCCCAACTAAAAATAAAATCAGGAATCGTCATGAATGGTCAGAATTTCTGAACATTCCTGAACAGTCTCACCACTTCTGATGTTTTCGAACGTTTCTCACCATTCCTAACCAAATACTTTCCAAGCTCCTCCCACTTTACTCCCACCATTTTCGAAGCTGTGACCATTTCTGAAATTCCTGATCATTTCTGAAATTCTTGACTATTTCTGAAATGTGTGAACACATAACCTATAAAAATTTTAGTACATCTTTCTAATTTTGGTAAAGTCTCATGAAAATTTATATATACATATAAAATCTTTCAAATTTATTTTTTACATTTCAGAATCAAATTGGTATAATTATTGAATTAATTATACAGCAAAAGTAGGTAAATAAATCAAAACATTCGGACCATTCTTTTAACATTATTTAATATATTTATTTAATATATGTATATTTACTTGTAATTATTTAATATAGTTAATTAATAATAAATTTTGTTTCATAATATTAGTAATTTACTATACAAGTACTTATTATGAGAAGTATTTGCATTATAATTGAAATACAGTTAAATTTAAATTATTATAATTCATTAATAGAACAATTTATTACTATAATGATTATTAATAATTTAAATTTAAAATTTATAAAAATTTTAATATTGCATTAATAATTCATTATTATTATAAATTATAATGTTAAATTAAATTAATATTAAATACTAAATTCATTTTAAATGCAGATATAATAATAATAATTATTATTATTAATCTGTATTCGTATTATAGTTTATGAAACATTCCAAATTGTAAAGTTAAGACTTAATTTATTATTCATTCAATTAATAATGTTAATTTTTATTAATTCACATAACCTATTATGACTAAATTGAAATATAATTAATTAATAAAAATTATTTAACAGTTTATTCTGATTTATTGATAATATTGGTAATTTAAGTTTACTATTTTACGGTTGCTCTTTATATAGACAGTTTAATCCAGAAATATGTAAGTCGGTTCGGTAGTCGCAGTCGTTAGGGCAGTTAGTTTAGGCACTAGGTTAGGTCATGCGTCGGGGTTCGATCCCCGTAGGGTCCAAATTTTAATTTAATTCCGGGAATTAGTTTCAAGTTGTTCCGTATATGTAAACAAATTGATATTAATTAATAAAATATATTTTTTAAAATTAATTTGTTGCAACTTTTTGCATATTCTTTAAATAAATAAAACAGAAGTGGCTTAAAAATATGGTCAAAAATGAGATACAAATGGTCTTAAATAGTCACCAAATATGGGCGGGGTCAACAAAGAGGAGGGGATAGTAGCAAACTTGTGACCACTTTAAACTTCCTTCTGATCAGTTGTGATAGATTTCTGACGAGATCCATCCAGGATCGTAAGAAAACTGGATTAAAGTGGTCAGGCGGCCTGACCATTCCTGATTTTATTTTTAGTAGGGAAGTTGGGTCTATGGGTCAGTGCTCAGTGGTCAAGGAGGTGGCGCCAATTCTGGTGGCCGCGGTGAACTAATGAAACTCAAATTACTCCGCTTTAAGGCGGTGTCAAAGTCGATTGGATTTTTGCATTGACCTTCAATGGGAAAATCGCATCGACTTTGACATCCCCTTAAAACTTTAATAAAATAATTTCCTTGCAAAATTATTGTAATTTTGTTTAATTTCTTGCTTAATTTTGTTAATGAACTTAAAAAATATTAATTTTCGCTGGCAGTTACGACGTAAGTTTTTCCATTTTGATGCTCGCACATCAAAACAGGCTGATAATATAACCTCACTTTTTCTTTATTGTAGGCTGCTGTAGGCGCCTTAGACGTTGCGCTTGCGCAATGCACAGATATTAGATTGTCAAGTTCAATATCTAAACGTTATATTCTACAATACACTACATATTAAATCTAAACATCTGATATACTAAGCGTTAAAATCTAGATAATATATTTAAGTATCTCATTTTTAATATCTAATATATTAAGAGTTTTAATATCCATTTTTCTCAGTGTACGTAGAATCGCTTAAAGTCCATTGAAGAGAATACACTGAACTCTTGCTGTAATGGACGTTGCTGTAATGGACTAGTTTGTTGATGAAGTGGTGAGCGGGGAAACGGGGTCGCTGAGCTCGGCGACTAGCGCCACCAACAAAGTACTATTTTTTAAATTTTGCGGGTGCACAGTCTCCCCACTAAAATCTTATTTTCAATTTTTTATTATTTTATGAGCTGTTCAGTCATTTAAAAAAAAATATTTTCCAAAATTATGTTTCCATTCCTTAATTACTTGCTTTTAGTTAAAAATTTGTGCATTTAAAGAAAATAAAAAAAAATTATTTAGAATCTATGTTTTAAATCTTCATACGGCCCTGAATGTTTTGATGACCTTGCTTCAAGGGTACTCTTGCTGTAATGGACCACAGCACATTCGAGTCCATAACAGCAAGAGTTCAGTGTAGCTATTTCTTATTTTTTTCAATTCGCTTTCACAAATTTACTCTGTCGATTTAAAAGAATAGGATTCTGTATTTTTTTAACATTGAGAAGCAAAAAAATTTTGCGCATTCTTACCGGGCATAAAAGGATTGGATTAACAATAATATGGTGTTATTGAACCAATAGCGACAACTAAAAAAATTTTTGTATCATAAAAATGCCCGGGTGTCATTGATTTTTTTCTCCGTGTATTTATTCGAATATTTAATAAACCGATCGGTTTATTAAATGTGCCCTAGTGGTGGCTTTATATTTCTGGTAGGGCCATCACAGGGAATCAAGCTAGAGCCCGATCTTCCATTCCTCGCTATCCGCGAGCGTATGACGAAAAGTGCCGGACCCTATCAGAACCCAACTCAAATTTCTACACGGGAAGTTGAAACTCAGTAATATTGTATTAAATTTATTTTAACTTTTTTCACATATTTAGATTTAGAGAGTAAAGACATCTAATGGCCAAGACATAGAACATGTATAGGACGTCTTTAAGACGTCTTTTTGTACAAGTCTAAAAGACGTCCGCAAAAAGACATCTTTAGGACGTCTTTTGAACAAGTGTGCCCACTGGGAAGTTGGCATACTAATGTATATTTTCTATTTTGCTGCATCACTGAAATAAAAATCTGCAATAACTATCATGGGACATTTTCACGGATGTAATATATTATGTTATCAATTGCTGTGAGGGTGTTATAAGAATCTGAAGCTATTTTATATATTTGAGTGCATTTCCATGGCTACGATATTGAACTTCCACAACAATAAGTAAAGTTAACGTGGTTTCTAGGAGGGAGGTAACGCATGGCCAAACAGGTAGAAAGACAGACAGTTCAGTAAAATAGGGCAGGTGTACTGCAATGGTTTATAGCCGTTTTCATTGGTCAATTGTTTATATTTTAGAAATGAGTTATATTTTTATGTTAATTACAGTTATATATAAGTGCAACGCTATTATACCATCAAAAATAGGTGAATTAGTGTTATTTTAACATAATCTTGTCAAAAATCTTTCAAATTTATTTTCGAAAAATTATTTTTAATTATCGATATATAAAAATTGAACATAAGCAACATTGTAGACCACGTGTTACATAAGTTTTTATACTCTATATTAAATTGATTTATTAAATTTGCAAATATATGTTTTTAAAAATTTATGTTGTCAATTTCTGAGATTAAATAAAATCTGTTTATGAGATGAAAGTAAGTTCAAAAATTTAAACTTACATTTATCGATCAGTTAAAAATATATTTATTACAAATGATTATAATTATTCAATTGAGCTTTAAAACTGTTTTTCTTTGTGGCTTAAACCCTTAAACGAGTAATAGAACATTTTTATAACATATGAATCAGTCTAAATAAAGAATGAAAATAATTATTTATATCTTAAGTCCATTGTATAATTCTACTAGTGAAACATATTTGTTTTCATTGTGAGAACCTAACGTAAAACGCACTATAGTGGTTGTGCATAATTCCTATTGTAATTAAAAAAATTATTTACATTTAGCGTGAATGGACTTATACACCTATTTTTCGAGTAAACAAACTCTGTTTATAACTTAAGCATGCAATCACGATCTAATTGCAAAAAGCGATTAGTATTATTGTGCTTACAGAAGCAGTAAAAAAATCTTTCAAAATTCATAAATTATTAAAATTCTCTTGGAGATTGTCATTAAAAGTAATATTTCTTATGTTTTTTTTGTTATTTGCAGAAAACGAAGTAGTGATTATCGATCACTTGTCGGGACATCGTGTACATTTAAGCAATTTCTTTTGGACTGGAGTAAACGATGCTCCTTCTTGGATAATGCTAAAACAACTTTTATTGTTTTTTGAAAACAAAGGAGTCAATAATTTTTTACCTACTAATACTCTAGATGAAAGTAAAAACGGATTCAATGAAAGTTTATTCAACCCCAATATTCCATTTTGCAAAGCATGTGTAAACTTTAATTCAACTATATCAGAAGGAGAAGAAAATATTGGTGTTCTTATTGGAGATGATCCTGGACCAAGGTAAAATAAATAATACATAAGCAAAATATTACTCCTACTTAAACTAGGGTATTTTGGTTCGAGTTGAGACAGTTTTCACAAACGTCTCAGAGTTACTATACAGGATTGCAGCATGCGCCAGAGTTGAGATAGTGTTGTTCGGAGCCATCGTATTATTAATTTAATATTTATTATAAAAAGTTACTTTTTCAATGTTTGCGTTTATTATGAAGAAAGTAAAAAAAATGTGTGAACATTGCATTATTTTTTTCTTTAAACTTTTTTTGCAGAATTTGATAATTTGAATTGAACAATTGAAGAAACTTATTGGCATTAAATTTTTATTTTTTAAACATTGCAAAATTAGCTTTTACTGTTTTCGTGTACATCAGACATTGAGTGCGCCATATATTACCCGCTTGGGTATCCAACATAGGATACGTTTTAGGCTTGAAGCTTTGTGCCTTAACCACCTCAGCAGTTGAAGACAGATATATGAACCTCTACAAAGTTTACGAACCCACTTGTCAATGAAATGATTTTAACTTAGAAAAATATTATAATAACTTTTATCTTTAACATTTTCTAAGTTCTAGTTTGAAAGAAAAAGACGCCTTTCAGACATCTTAAAGACATCTAAAGAAGACATAGAACATTTTAAGGGCGTCTTTAATCAAACTCAAAAGACATCTGCAAAAAGATATCCTTATGGCTAATACCAAAAGAATAAAAGATGGACATCCATTTTGTTTCTTGAAACCGTTTTTCCCAATTTAAGTGATGCTATAATCAGCTATCGAAAAATACGCTTTAATTATTATTTAAGTTTTAATAAATGTCTGTCTCTTATACCGGTATATAATATTTAATATCTTTATAGATACTGGTTAATCACAATTCTTAAAAGTGAAAAAGGAGTGCCTCCAAAAATTGAGCTGCGGCTAGCACGATTGTATCATTTGGCCTTTAGGAGACAACAACAACTCCACCTCGGTCTTTATGGAAGTGAAAGCCAGCAAATCTTGTACAATAAAACCCTTGCTTTTAATCAAATACAGGAGGGTAAACCTTCATCTGATTATGTGTGTAAAAAGTACTGTTTAATTTATTTTTAGACAGAGATGGGGCACATTTTCTTTTGACCGGGAGAACTTTAACCACTTTTCAAAAATAAAGTTATACAATTGTTCGGATATATACTTATTATAAGCCAATGTAGCTTTTGAAAGTAACTATAAAATTCCTGGTTAATGTTTTATGCGGCATCATATTATACGACATTAAAGAAAGAAATATCATGAAGAAATGGTATTTATGTTCAGTGGAAGATGGAAGGAGACCCATGAACAAGTGTGCTCTATCTCCCAGGCGGAAATTTCCAACCGGCGCGGATCCTAGCCCGTACTGACGCCGGTGTAACTGTACTGGCTCGGAACCGCCTGCCAACCGAATGTGAACGGGCATTCTACCGAATAGTGACTAGGCCAGGAGCGCGCTGGCAACCGGCTCGGAACTGGCATTCTACCGCCCGCTGACCGGCCGGGAGAAGCCGTTCCGTGTATAATTCAACCGGCTGGGACCTGGCACTCTACCGACCGCGGATTTTTCATTTAATAGCCAGCCGAGCGCTGGCATTCTACCGACTGACAACCGGGTCGGATCCAAATGATAATTTCAACAAATATCAATACAAAAAATAATAATTAATTGCAAAAGATAAATACTGATGACAATTCATTGACAGTTCACTTTACACATTTTTTTTTATTTTTTTATATACTTAAACGCAATTTTTTATTACATACACATTTGAAAAATCCTAACGCTTGGAAGGTACGAACCTACGCCTAACCGAATATTTACGCACCGAAATCTCGCACGCTAACCACTATGCTACGCTCGCATGGGACTCTCAAATCTTAAATACTCTCAAGTGTCACAAGCTGAAATAAAACTTGTCGAATAACTACGCGTCAATGCTACAGCTATATTTTTATTATTATATAATATATTAAATAATTGTATCTCAATATAATAATATTGAACATAATAATATTAATAATTTTAATTAATACCACAATAATAATAAATTTATTATTATGGAGATATTATTAATTAACATTAATGTTATTGAGAATTAATAATAAATTATTAACATGAATATTAATATTTATTAATATTTATTAATATTAATAATTTATTATTAATTCTCAATAATATTAATTAATAATATCTTAATAATAATAAATTTATATTAATAGTATAAATTTATTTATAATAATTATAAAGTATAAGTGCACAACAGATTTTTTTAATTGTTTAATTTTGAAAAAACTCTCAATAAATAATTACTTAATATTTTGATTAAATTCATTTATTAATTAATCATTATTTTCTAAAATAATGCAATTAATTATTGTAATAATTATTTAGTTATGACACATTTATTGAAAATAAATTTATAATGTCACAATAAATGACGACGTCCGCAGTCGGATCCGGCCCAATACCGACCCAGTACAGACTTAACATATCCGTCATTCTTCCGACGCCGCAGAAGAATAAGATCCGCCGGCGGAAGAAATCCAGTACCGAGCCAGTACTGACAATAGTGGGAAGACGGTTCCGACAGTCGGAGCATAATCTGTACCGCGCCGGTTGCTTTTTCAGATCCGAATCGGTACAGACCGTCGGTACTTGCGGTCTGTACGGGCGCGGATCCCAGCCGGTTGTAAATTCCGACATTCGTCCGACTTTTCCGCCTGGGCTCTTTTAAAAATTGTTTAACAAAAAATTTTGAATAATTTCATAAAAAATTTTAGGTAACAGTTTCAGTAAATGAAAATAAGGAAAATCATGTTGTAAATAAAAGAAAAACTGTAAAAATGAAGCAAAAATCATCATTGAATTTAATGAGAACAATCAGATTAAGGAGAAAAGAAATGTATCCACTATTTATACAAAGAGAAACATCTTCTGAAAAATCAATGGCTGAAAATATAACAGAGTCTGTCGAAAATGAATTTAATATTTCACAAAGTAAAAGTGGATTATATAATTTACTGTCATCTGTAGGCTTTGACATTCCTGATAATAACAGAGAAGATATTACATCTTTTGAATTAAGTACTCCTTTCTCATCAATTAATTCTGAAAATTCACCTCTGGGAAATTCTAATAAGTTGAAAGTTGAAGAATCGCTATTAAAAGTTACCGCACATGGTGATCCAGAAAACGTGAATTTAGTTCAAGTCAGAATGCAAGATGTTGCTGTCATGGACAACAGTAATTTAAGACTTATTTATTCAGTCCATTTAGGTGGAAAACCAGTTCCAGCCGAAATTGCTGCAAAAGATATGTCTCTGTTATCTTCTCAAGAGGTTGCTCTGGAGCTTGGAACACCGGTTTTAGTTCAAAGTACACGTAAGATATTAAAAATTATTATTATTATTATTTTGTTTTCAATGTTTCAATGTTTCAATGTTTCAATGTTTTCAAAATTTAATTTAGGTATTGAAAGAAAGAAGGTGGACCTTTAAATCTAAAATAATTTTATTTCGGTTCACTATGAGAGGATTTGTTTCAAAATAAAAAATTAAATTTTAAGATTTGAAGATCTGTCACTGATACATTTAATAATCCTTTATTACTTTCGTCTGAATTTTACATCAAGTTTTATAAATAATTATTGAAACATTATTTTTATAATAAAATTTACTATTTTTGATTTTAGCTTATTTAAATACAACAGCACCCCTAGCACTATCAAGAAAAAGAGATGTTTTTATTTTGACGGGAGCGGCTGGAATTTCAATACTTCTTTTTATAATAATAATTATAATTTTAATTCCGGTATTAAAGAAGAAGGGTTCAAAACCAGTTGCTTCATCTGTTAACCAAAATAATATAAAGGAAAATAGAGAATATATACCAAAAAGACTTGATCACGATTATGTAATGTGTACTTCTGAAACTGAGAGAGATGTATGTATTAAGTATTTTTTATTTTATTAGTTACAATAATTATTATTTTAAGATAGTTTAAAACTGACGTTTTTTATAATCATTTTAACTTAAATTTATGATGTTAGCATTTAACAGCTTATTAAATATAATAGAGTTGAAGTTATCGATCACCCCGAGTCAGAGGTGAAAAAAAAGTATTAAATATATTAGTTGGTTTTGTATGGTTCAAATATTTGAACACTTACATTACTATTTGAAACATATAAAAAGATGAAAAATGAATAAATTAATAGAAAATGAATCCTTAATTATCTTCAAAATGTCAATAATAAATAATTATAATCATGAAATAACGTCAGTAGTGATCATATATGGGCAAATCTACAAAAACGGTCGATTTCACGTTACTCCTCATTTATACTGCTTTAATATATAGTTAATTCTATTTAATTTTTGTCTTGTTTTGAATATCATTTTGATAAGCTTTTAACCCCTTAACTGTTTGAGGAAAATACAACATGATTGTCCCAAAATGCCCAGCGGAATCTGATACTTTTTCAAATAGTATAATATATTTAAATTATAACTAATTATTCAATTATTTTCTAAAATATCATTAATGACCCTTATAATTTCTTATAATATTGATATAAAGAAAAATATCTATCAACTTATATACAAATTATATTTATTTTGAGTGATAGTGAGCACGACCCACGGGTGGGTCGGAAACAGTTATGGCCATACTTTTTCACGACCCACCCGTGGGTCGGAAACAGGCAACGGGTTAAAAGAAAAAAGTTTATAAAATTATAATTTTTATACTCTTTTGTATTAAGAAATTATTCTTGAACTAAAAGAGTCAAATTTCGCAAATTTATTTCTTACTCTGGATTGTTTTACTTTTAACGTGTATAATTTTTTCAGCATAACACGAAATTAAAACTCGAAATGAATAATTCTTCTAATATTAAAGAATGCATTATATGTAGAAAAAAATATGTGCTTCTTATAATTGAAACTAAATAGTAACTGTTCGAAAATTGTTACTTAAATTTATGAGTTAAAGAAAGTTTTGAAGGTTTTTTCATTCTGTGATTTTAGCGATAATACAATTCTAGTTTTTTTTGCATCAGCATATTATTTATGAAAAACGAATAACTTGAAAACTTATCAAATTGCGTGCTTTTAAAAAATAATATAATACAACAATATTTTTGTTGAAACGTGAACGACTTTAAGTTTTGAGTATTTTTAATGGCACACTTACAGATTGAAGAATAATGGGTTAAATATTTATGTGAACGATAGATATTTTTGTCAATAATATTATTTCCAAGCGCTAAAAATTTACTCCAAATGAAACATTTAAAAACGTTAAATGTACAATTTTTTAACAACTTTCATTATTAAAATAATCGACCTAAATTTATCTAAAGTTTTAATAATTTAAGTATGGCCTCTAAATAAAATGAGTGCTTGTAATATAAAAATCTTTGCTCGTATATTTGCCCATATATCAAAAATTCTAGTGAATTTATTTTTACTAGGGGTGACAAAGTAACTCAGTTGCTTCATTTTAGAATTTAATAATTTAAATGGTCAGGTTCCCCATAGTAAAGTATGTGGGACAATTTAACACACTAAATCATATTATTTTAAGGCATTAGCTGCTTTTTGTATTTTCTGTTAAAATTTATTCACAGCGACTCTAAAATTTTCGTTTTTTAGACAATTGCAACCAGCCAATCTTATTCACCAAATAGTCGTTACGTTAATATGATAACACCAAACAATTCAGACTCATTAGAAGATTCAAGCAATGATAATACAACTGAAAATGTCATTTGTTCTAAAAACAATTTACTTTCTAAACATAATACTCCTGTCTATCAAAACAAGAATACATCAGTAATAGAAAAACATAGGTAAATTCTTTCAAAATAAAGTTTCAACTACTGTGAAATAACTAGCAAATTATTTAATACTTATTAAAATGTAAATAATAAAAATGCAAAGTCGATCACTTTCATGGTTGTCATTAATGATTATTTAACAAGTAATCTAGCTTCAAGAAACGACAATGTTAGGAGCAATAAATAATATAACTTTATATTTAGATATGAAGATAAAGGAATGACGACAGATACGGATCCTGATCGTCCCAAAACATATGCAAAATCCAACATATCTGTAACTGATGACGTACAAAAGTCAGTAGATAAAAAAGATGCAACTTCACCATGTTCATATTTGTCTATGAAATCATGCAAGAAATTTCCTACGGTGAAAAGCGTAGAGCCTTTGTCAAAAGTGTTGGAATCAATGGCGGTGAGTATTTTAATTAACCAAAGTACTAAAATCCTTGAAGTTTGTAATATAGATACTATACTAAAAACGTAATCGCAAAACAACGGAAATTTAGTCAGAATTTCTTACGTTTCTATATTGTTTTTGTTACGATTGCAGTCTCAGAATATCACCCTAAGTCTGATGTAGTCAGACAGTAAAAAAAGAAGTATTGAGTGGAGCGTTTAGGAATTGAGTGAAGCTCTGAGACAATACGGATTCGAGTAAAAACCGTATTGGGACGTTTGACTCAATCTTTTTTTCATCCGCCGAATACGGTCTTATTTTAGCATTAAAATTAAAATCACATGAGCAGAGTACACATTATAAATTGAAAGCACAATTGTCCTGGAATGTAAAAATGCCGATTTCGATAAGAAACTGTGAATATTTGTTAAAAATTGGTAAAAGCAAAGTTTGACAAGCGCGACTGAATTTACCATGTGAATAAATGAATTGGTAAGTTTAAATGGACGAAAAGAAATCTACTGTTACCGACAGAAAGTTCCTAGAGAATTGTTAAACAATGAAATTTCATTGTTTTGTTGAATTTCCACAATTCTCTAGGAACTTTCTGTCGGTAACAGTAGATTTCTTTCAGTCCATTTCGTCCATTTAAACTTACCACTTCATTTATTCACATGGTAAATTCAGTCGCGCTTATCAAACTTTGCTTTTACCAATTTTTAACAAATATTCACTGCTTCTTATCGAAATCGGCATTTTTACATTCCAGGACAATTGTGCTTTCAATTTATAATGTGTACTCTGGTCTTGTGATTTTAATTTTAATGCTAAAATAAGACCGTATTCGGCGGATGAAAAAAAGATTGAGTCAAACGTCCCAATACGGTTTTTACTCGAATTCGTATTGGCTCAGAGCTTCACTCTATTCCTAAACGCTCCACTCAATACTTCTTTTTTTACTGGGAAAGCATCAAAAGTAGTCAGATTTTTTTTTGGGTCTTCGACCATTTTTTCCTTGATTTATAATCAACCCTTATAAAATTCAGGGACAACTACCTGTTTATAAATGTTTAAAATAATATTAATTATATTTATTTCAACATTATACTTATTTTTCGTGCACTTAATACATTTCTGTTTTTATCACATATACAATATAAGTTTGGTAATATAAATTCGAAAATGATATAGGTATCCATTTTTATAATGTAACAGTCATGCTTTTCAATATAGTTTATAACTTTTTCAAGTAAAATTATTCTACGATAAATTTTAGATATTTGTAATCATGAAACATTATACATATTCTAAGTTTTATTATTTTAAACTTTTATTGTTTAAATTAAAAGATTTTTAAGTCATACCAATTTGAATCCCACATGATAATAGATCCCTAGGCCCATTGTTGAAATAGGGTTCGCATTATGAATTTGAAAGGCAGTCTAATGCCATTTTGAATTTTGTAAATATAAATTCAAATTCATAATCAGCAACCTCAAAAACCCCCGAGTAATAAGTTTCAAGTGATTTCAACTAAATTATAAAAATACAACCGCCATTTTTCGTATTTTTATTTTTTTTCTCAAAAAAGTAATCTGCGACATATTGCAGATTCGATGTCAAAATCATTTTAAAATTAAAATCCACTAATATTCTTTCCCTCTGTTTTTACGTATTATAGTCTGTTTCCCTAATGTATTGCAAAAAACTTGAAGATTAAAAATTGCACGGCTGTTACAAACTTTTTGATAACCCTTTCTTGTAGGATTTTTGACGTAGAATTCGAATCTGACCTTGAAAATGTCCAATTGGCTCTAGTTTTCAAACAAATTAACATTTTAAATACCAAAAAACGTGTTATTGGCACTTTTTGAACAGCTATAAAACGACAATAAAGCGACGGAATAAATGTATCTATACATAGGACGAAATGAAAGCATAAACAACCCAGTGAGAAATGATAAAGGTCTGACCGACGTCTAAATGGGTCTTTTTAGACCTTTCAGACGTCGGTCAGACCTTTAATTTCTCACTGGGAATGCTCTTCAAGATCCAAAATAAAAAAACTAGGTTCCAGGCAATTAAACAACTGCGAGGTTCTACAAGAAATGTACAAAAAAGTATTCTATACACAATTCGTGTGCGCTCCGATACAAAAACCTGATATAATTTTTTTAATTTGACCGGAATCTAGTTTTTTGATTTTGAGTCTTGAAGAACACTCCCCAGTCGAAATTTCAGCCCTACTTTCACCCTGAATTTTCAGGGTCTATTGAGTGTTAGGAGTAGTAAAGTAGGGTCTAATTCTAATACAATTAGACCCTACTTTGACTCCCAAAATAGGCGGAAATTTGCCAATCTTCCATTTAGAGAAGCAAAGGAGGGTCTACTTCTAAGAAACCTATACCGTACTTTTAAACCTCGTAGACCCTACTTTCATACTCCTAGACCCTACATTCTAAAAGAAAATTTTAAATTATTTTTTAATGAATTACTTGAAACACTGCAAATGCAAAAAGTACTCCAAATTCATAAATACTGATGTGTTTTATAGCGTCTATATACACTTCGTGTATATAGACGCTATAAAACACATAAAATTCCACTTTTACTCATCCCTAGTGCTTCAATTGAATCTGAGCAAATCTTCAAATTTTTCTTTTTCTAATTGTAGGGTCTAGGAGTATGAAAGTAGGGTCTACGAGGTATAAAAGTACGGTATAGGTTTCTTAGAAGTAGACCCTCCTTTGCTTCTCCAAATGGAAGATTGGCAAATTTCAGCCTATTTTGGGAGTCAAAGGAGGGTCTAGTTTTTAAAAATTGTATTGAAATCAGACCCTACTTTACGACTGCTAAACCTGAATAAGCCCTACATTTTCAGAGGCTAAGTAGGGTCTAAATTTCGACTCGGGCTGTTTAAGCTTTCATTTCGTCCTATGCAGACAAATTTATTCCGTCGCTTAATTGTTGATGAAGTGAACGAGGTCAAAAAACTTAATCTTCAGGTATCAGGTTGAAAGTTGTCACAAACTTTCGTCCTATGCAATTCACTTTAGATTTAGTTGTAGCGAAATTTCTAATTTAATCCGAAAAATTGTTCACTTCCTAATTATTGGTTTATGTATTTCTCTCTATCTGGTTCAATTACTGTGCGTTTTTAGCAACTGCCCTTGATATACCAAGAGTAGCATACTCAAGACAATGCAGCATATCTCACTTATGCAAACAATCAGAGAACCACCCTATTATTTATCAATTACGGCTCAGATAAAATTCCAACAGATGGTGTGACGGTTTACATTGTAACAAATAGGGACAAGAAGGACTTCTTTTTTTACAGTTCAGAGGACGTCCGTAAAAAGACAGCCTTAGGACGTTTTTAGAGCAAATGTGCATATATAATAGGATAATAGTTCTATATTAGAGGTGTGCATTTAATCGAGTCAAATCGAAAATTATTCGACTCGACAAAGAAAATTCGAATCGAACTACCAATTCGAAATTTCGAATTTCGAATTGGCCGATTTGAAAATCAGAGTTTACAATTGTACAACTCAACTCGGTTATTTTATTCGCACAATTATTTTGACAGAAATCCTAACCTAAAATTAGTAGGCTGGTATTCATAATACAGCTATCTAGTACTTAGAAACTTTTTCTTAAAAATGTCAAATCAAATTCTAGAATGGCAAACTCGAATTCACCTCTTCCCCTCTCTCTCTCTCTCTCTCTCTCTCTCTCTCTCTCTCTCTCTCTCTCTCTTCGAGTCTTCAAGGTCAACAATGGAGAAATTAATTTTTTTGTTTGATTTTTCATTTTGTAAAAAAACGTTTTTTGGACATAACTTAAAAAAATGTTAGGACACCTATTAATGTTTTTCTTTAGTTTTCTAGAGTTTTTTAGATGCATCTTTTGGTCCCTAATTGAACATTTTTCGTCCATATTAAGGTAATTTTAATTAATTTAATTTTAATTTAATTTGAATTTTCTGACTCTCTTACTCTTATGTGTTACCATGTCAACCTGCAGGCAGGCAGGCAGTAGGAGCTGTGCTAGCGCCTTTAACCGGAGACTTTTTTGAAAATTTTGTTGAAAAACGCAGAAGTAACTTTAAAATTATCGTTACCAAATTGTAGAGCATTAAAAAACGATTCGATTGACCTATTTTTGAATCTAATTCGATAATAAATAAATTGTTTATAAATAAATTCGATAATAATAAACCAAAAATTTTGGAAAATGACATTTTCTCAACTTTTGTGTTTAAAAATTTTTGTTTAACTATTAAATTATTGTAACTATCTTGTAGGGTATATAAAAATACATTGATTGATCCAAAATCCAATCACTTTTACCATATTTTTAAAGAGTAATTAATATATTTCTATTATTTTTATCTCTATGAGGAAGTACAGTGTTCATGAAATGAGTACCAAAATTATAAAAAAATATACAACTTAGCAGCGGTTTTTAATTATATATTAGCGAAATTATATATAAGCGAAATATTTTCTTCACTTTCAACACATTATTGGTATTTGTATGTTATTTATATATTAAAATTATAGAATAATTAATTGTGCGAATAAAGTAACCGAGTTGAGTTGTACAATTCGAAACTCCAATTTTCGAATTGGCTAGTTCGATTCGAATTTACTTTCGATTCGAATCGGCCAATTCGAAATTCGAAACTTTGAATTTCGAATTGGTAGTTCGATTCGAATTTTCTTTCGATTCGAATCGGCCAATTCGAAGTTCGAAACTTCGAATTGGTATTTCGATTCGAATTTTGCACACCTCTATTCTATATGTATGTTCAGCTTTGTCAAATGTTCTACGGCTTGTGAAATTCGTGTTCTCAGAACATTGTTTAAATGTCTAAATGTTTAAAGTGTGCTCATACTGTCCTTTAACGCATATATCAAAGTTTTAAAATACTCAAATCTGTGTTTAAGCAAAATCAAACCTCTATCACATTTTTGACAGAGAAGTTAAAAATCAATCCTCAGAAATTGCAATTTAAAGAAAGTACATTAAATAATTAAAATATGAATTTATCACTCGCAATAATTTATAATAAAGATGACAATTAAGATCACTCTAAGTTAAATTTGACAAAAAATCACTATTCTGTTATTGTTGAAACAAAGGAAAAATGATTTTATTCATTTGACTTGACTCGGAATGACGGATATTATCATCTCTACAATTAAAATTTATATTTTTTTGCAGGACTTGTAGAAAAACGGATAACGTAATAAAACATAAATGGACGTTATCATAAATTTTATAATAATTTACTTAAAAATAATTTAAAAATTTTTTAAATTTAAAAAGATTTTGTCCTTTTTAAATAAATAGTGTATTTTCATCCTTCAACAAGACATCTAAGATAACCATTGTAAGCATAAATTGTTATTTCTTAAAAATTTTAAATAAAGAAAGTTTCCTTTTAGTACAGTCAATCTAGCCTGAAAAAGACGTTTTTTTGGAAAAAATACCTTACTTGAGATTATTTCATAAATCGTTAGTGGAACATGTGACCAGCTTAAAACCAAAAAGTTGGGACACTCCCCCTTGGGGAGGGGGGAGAAACTCAAAATTTCTTTGGATTTGATTTTGTACGAAAACCGTAAGTCGTACTGAAAAATTTCTTAAATAAAAGTTGTAGAGAACAAATTTCTCTACATTGTATCTCATTGGGCCCCTACTGTACAACTTAATGTGCGAAAGCTATAGGGGGCGCCAAAGTTGCAAAGAATCCGTTTTTCCCCTTTTTCTTATAAAAAAACCATTTTTGCGTTTTAGTGTAAATAGAAAAGTTGTAGAGCTTATAAAAACCTACAAAATTTATATACATAATTTTTTTCTACGTTGCACTCTTTCGGAGGTACAGTCTACTTATTAATTGTTACGTATAGATAATCCATATAACACAAGACCACAAAATATTTTTAATGAAATATTGACTGGACCATGTCTTTTATATGTATTTGGGGCCCCTGAAATCGAATCCGAACACAGTTTCCGCCATCACGTCAAATTTCTTTAAAATGGCGGATCCAATATGGCTGTAGAATTTTAAAAAAATTTATCAGATTTTTAATTTTTAAAAACTAAGGAGAAATTCGTATTAAGCGACCCCAAAAACCCTCAAGTAAGAAGTTTTTAGGAAATGTGATAAATTTTTTTAAAATTCGACAGCCATATTGGATCCGCCATTTTGAAGAAATTTGACGTGATTTTTCTATTTACACTAAAACGCAAAAATGGTTTTTTTATACGAAAAAGGGGAAAAACTGATTCTTTGCAATTTTGGCGCCCCTTAGCTTTCGCACATTAAGTTGTACAGTAGGGGCCCAATGAGATACAATGTAGAGAAATTTGTTCTCTACAACTTTTATTTAAGAAATTTTTCAGTACGACTTACGGTTTTCGTACAAAATCAAATCCAAAGAAATTTTGAGTTTCTCCCCCCTCCCCAAGGGGGAGTGTCCCAACTTTTTGGTTTTAAGCTGGTCACATGTTCCACTATCGATTTATGAAATAATCTCGAGTAAGGTATTTTTTTCCAAAAAAATGCCAGATTGACTGTATTACTATTTCGCGAGCATATATTTTTCTTGTATTTTATCGTCTATATTATAACCAGTATGAAAGCTGAAATATTTATCAAGTACACAGCATGCTTTGAATTAAAACACAAATAGTTGTCCAAAGTAAAAATACTTTAGACATTTTTCAATGTTCTAGAACCCTTTTTTGGTATTTGAGAAGCAATTGCCCAACGTTGAGAATTCATTGATGCAACCTATTGGACTCGACATTCTTGTCATAGATGTATTGGTATTTTTTATGGTTTAATAAATTCAGATGGTATTTTATTGAAAATATCTTTGTGCAGGATTCAGCATAGTATATGTTATATATCGTTTCCATAGAACGATCGACGATAAATGATCAAATAATCTTATAGAATTTTAACAAACAATTGAATCTATATGGTTCCTGTAAAAGAAATAAATGTTATTATGCAGACGAAGGAGGTAGACATAGAATTGGATTCACTAGATCAACAGGCAACGAAGGTACCTGGAAGTGAAATAGTAAGGAAGTTCTGGAGTAAATTCTACAGTTCAAGAGATGATCCTGGCGCAATAGGTCCAATTGTTTGGAATTTGAAAAGCAACAATTGTAAAGAAAGTACGTAAATTTCCTAATAATATTATAGCGTTTTGTAACCATACAAGAATCGTAGTACTACGATCTGATTCGATTGTTTAGAATATTACATCTAAACTATAATAATTATTCTATCTGTACTTTTTGTAACACATTCCCAGGTAACAATCGTGGGTCCCATACTTGACTCACTTTTCAGATACTTGCTGCAATATTGTAATAAGATTGTAGCTTGCCGTGAATGATGTTTTTCGGGCATATGCGCTCACTATTATTGTTATCTAGAATTGCAATATAATTTAAAGAATTCATATTGTTCTAGTTGGACAGGCTAGACAAAGACTACATGAACTTTTAGAAGATTCTTGGACCAATGCGGGAAAAGAGACAGAAATAAAAAACTTTGTATCTTATCAACATCATCCTGCATCAGAAGAAGCAGTTACTAACGCCACTCATTTGTCGCAATTACCAACAAATTTTTTAAGATTAAGGTAACATTACTGGTTTCTGCTTTCTCATAGGAAGCTTTATAGTGATGTCGATTTCCGAATTTCTTTAATTTGGGACCGTTCATAAATATTACAGCGTATGGGGTCACTGATTTTTATGTTTTTTAAAAGGTATTTTCGTTATAATAAACAACATTATGCTTATTATCTTATAGGGATAGTTCAAGTCACATGGTGTCTACTTCACAACCAAACGCAAATGTAAAGTCTACAAAATTAGATGAATCAGTTCAAGATACCAGTAGAGTTGAGCAACATTGCAGCGGTACATGGGGAACGCGACCACTAAGTGCTGGCCCATTTCACAGACCAAATTTATCGGACATAAGTAAAATGTGTGTGTCAACAAATTCTAATTTACCATCTGAAGATCCTGCAGTAACAATAATTGATGCTATTAAACAGGAGTTAACAAAATTTGCTAGTAAATAATATATTTCACAGATTACGAAAGTGTCCATACCAACATCAGGGTTCATAAAAGCAATTTTTTGTTTTAGAGTAATCAATAGAATTAGGATGCTAAATAACTATGATCGTTTTATCTTCTCTATTTATTGTTAAAGGAAGAAATATATAAATAAGCCAAAGAGATTAATACCATTTTAAAAGTAAATATATACTAAACTATTAAAACTTTACATAAATATTTATACATACCAAATCACTTTTGATGGATGCAAAAACAAAAAATTATAAAACTTTTCAATCGTTATATGAATTCCTCCAATGAAAGACTTAAGAATAAAAGACTAACTTGTTTAAATTAAATTGTAATGTTTTATATAATAAAGTATCAACTTGACTGACTTTGATATTATATAATACTTGTGAAGTTGTTTATTTCTTCATTGTGACCTAACCCGAAAATTTATTGCTTTAGGGGAGGAGAATATATCATGCAGAGTTATTAAGATTTCAAATTTAAAAAATTAAATGTGATTGGTTTAAGTCTTACCTTTGTTATAGGTTTCACTGTTATATCAGCATAGAGACATCCTTCTATGGATGAGGTGACTGATATGCAACGCTTTTATTACGAAAATGCATTTAATATAAAGTGACTGTGAAGGATCTTGCTCTGATGATGGATAGGACTTTATCATGAATTATCATGTTTGTGGAATTTCACATAAAACCTTTATGACCTTACAACAGTTGAATAGAATTAAAGATTTGCTCCCAACTGCAACTAGTACTTTGTTAGTTAAATCACTTATTCTTTCTCTTTTTGATTATTATTGTCTAGCGTTTATGATGATATCAGCAATGACTTAAATCAAACATTGGAAAGATCCTAAGTATGAAAATGTAACGCCTAACACAATGTAGAATTAAATCTGGTTTGTTAAGTGTTGCAACTTATTATTAGGTATTTATTAGTATTATTTTCTTTGCAGTTTTTGTATTAGTAGAAAATGAGTTATAACGTAATTATTCCTTGAAGGGCTTATTATCCTTAGAAACGTTAATATTTTTAAAATGAATAAATGTTATCCTATAATTGACAAGCTTACTATTATATGCTAATGTATTGAAGGATATTAACAACATTTTACTTGTATTGAAAGTATACTTTTATTCCATGAAATCATTCAAAATACAAGTTACAAAAAACTAAATAATGCACCCAGTAAAAAAAGAAGACGTATTGAGTGGAGCGTTTAGGAATTGAGTGAAGCTCTGAGCCAATACGGATTCGAGTAAAAACCGTATTGGGACGTTTGACTCAATCTTTTTTTCATCCGCCGAATACGGTCTTATTTTAGCATTAAAATTAAAATCACAAGACCAGAGTACACATTATAAATTGAAAGCACAATTGTCCTGGAATGTAAAAATGCCGATTTCGATAAGAAAGCAATGAATATTTGTTAAAAATTGGTAAAAGCAAAGTTTTATAAGCGCGACTGAATTTACCATGTGAATAAATGAAGTGGTAAGTTTAAATGGACGAAATGGACTGAAAGAAATCTACTGTTACCGACAGAAAGTTCCTAGAGTGGTAAATTCAACAAAACAATGAAATTTTATTGTTTTACAATTCTTTAGGAACTTTCTGTCGGTAACAGTAGATTTCTTTTCGTCCATTTAAACTTACTACAGTCAGGTCCCCATACTGTTAGATTCCAAACTGTTATGTCCTCAAGGCCAATAACAATAGACAATAGATTCGCGAAAGTCGTTCGCGAACGCAAAGCATGAGTTAGAAAAGGACAGAGATATATTTGTGTCCTTGTCTATCTCATGCGTCTCGTTCGCGAACGACCTTCGCGAACCTATTGTGCGTTGGACTTCAGTATAGTGTTATGTTTTTGCATAACCTCCAAATTCAGAAGTGTTAGGTGGCGTCACGTTACGTCACCAATTTTCAGGGCCGTATTCTTAAGCCCAAAGAAAATTGCGCTTTCAATTTATAATGTGTACTCTGGTCATGTGATTTTAATTTTAATGCTAAAATAAGACCGTATTCGGCGGATGAAAAAAAGATTGAGTCAAACGTCCCAATACGGTTTTTACTCGAATCCGTATTGGCTCAGAGCTTCACTCAATTCCTAAACGCTCCACTCAATACTTCTTTTTTTACTAGGCAATTAAGAATATTACAAATATTTTATAGTATTTTATCATGTAGAATAAACAGGTAAAGAAGTTTTATAATATTTTTATAGACGTCCAAGAAGTTTAAGACTTTTTTATCAATTGTTTATTATAAATTCCGGTAAGAAGACTGGAATGAAAAAAATATTTAAAATAAAGTTTAACATTTTATTTTCCCGAATTTGGAGAAATTGCCAAAGTTTTGTTATAAAAATTTAACAGAGATCTTTTAAGGTCATCTCTTCTTGTTTGTTTAATACTTCTTACTATTGGAAATATTAAAAACGCGGCGATTTACAAATCTGAAAATTTCCGGATTTAACAAATACGATGCCAATCGAAAGTTTTAATTCTTCTTCTTCTTAAAGTTGATAAACAGTCTCTTATGAAATCTAATCCTAAAATTTCTTGGACAGTTTGTAAATATTTGTCAGAATTATTTTGGATTCTTCACAGCATTATATATTAGTCGTTTTACTCGTACAGATAAGTTTTGAATGTTTCTTAATTCTTATTCGTTTGTTTTCATACTGCTTCTGACTCAGATAATAAAATTAACAGATTTTCAGTTAATTCCTGTAATACATCCTGTTCAGAGTCATTAAATTCAGAGGGTGACAACAATTTAGCCTTGGTTTCATACAGGCAAGTCTTGGTTTCTGTAGAAAGATACGGACGTATATTGCGAAGAATGGTATTATTAACGCTACTGGCGGTTTTTATAGACCCAGAAATATTATCATCGAAATCAGAAGTAACCACACCGGCTCGATTAAGTTTTTTGAAAAGACCAATTTGATTGTTATTCTTTGTTATGTAACTTAAGATTTCTTTAACCTGACTGGGCAATTGTAATTCGTCTATGTTTAAATAACGACTGTGCAATAAGTAATTAATAAAATCGCGATCGACTAGGGCTTGATTTAAAATGTGAGGTGCTCTTGAAAAAATAAATGACATGCTTGGAAGAAAGTTTTGAATCTTATTTCCAAAAAAATTTGCAACATCATTTAAAAGACTCAAAAACGGTACAGAGTAATCGTTTAAAATGTCTTGTGTGTTGATAACTAGAACAAACTTAAGAGACTTAACATTTTTCATTAATTGAATATTAGATAAAGCTTTCATGATTTCATCCATTCTATTTTTGTCGTTAGAAAATCCTGGAGAATCCCAGAGGGACAAATCTGTTAAGTTGGGTGAAGTCCATCTTGAAAGAATTGTTGTCTTTGTTACTGGCCCTGCATCAATTTCCGGTCCTTTAACGTTTTTATCCGGCAAGATCATGCTTAATGAATCATATTTAGAACGTTTGGAAGAAATCAAAGTATTGCCTAATAAGTAATTAATTAGTGTACTTTTTCCAGCTCTTGCACTGCTTATGAAAAGTGCCCCATCTTCATATTGAACTTCCGTTTTCAAATGTGTGGTAATTTTTTTCAAAGCTTCTCGCAATTCTGATACATTAATTTCACTCGAGCAATTAAGGCAATTAACGTATGAAATTAGGAAGCAGACAATTGCTATTCTGATCATGATTGCTCAACGATAATTTTTTTTCACAATTCAAATTAATGTGGTCGAAACTTATTCCTAATGTTATTCTATGCCCTAAAAAATACAAAAATATAATCTAAAATATAATTCTTTTAAGGTTTTAATAAAAACTGTTCATTATAGGGTTTCGGTGCCAAGGGCAAAAACCCTTATAGCGAGACTTCGGTGTCCGTCCGTAGTTCTTACGTCTTAAGCCTTAAGTCTTACAGCGAGACTTCGGTATAAGAAGTCCTTAAGTTTTAAGTCTTATGTCTAAAGTCTTAAGAAAAAACATAACAACCGTTGTCATGGCAACCGTTGCTATGTTAATGGTTGCCGTGGCAACCGTTGATATAGTAATGGTTGCCATAACATCCGTTGCTATGGTAATAAAAAAAGTTTTTAATCTTAAGTACACTGAGTACACTCGTGCTCATTCTTCTCTCAGGAAAGGCACTAATTTGACGCGTTTTGCCTACATTTCTGTATTTTTTTATAGTTCGTGCCAATAATTCCAACAGAATTCTACTTTTCCATTTGCTGATTTTTTAGACCATACGGTACGAAAACCTAGCACGTCAGTCATATCCCATGAGTGGGAGTGAGACAGACTTATGCGATTCCCATACTTTCCTATGACTGACGGATAGCTTTTCTTACTGTATAGATGGTAGTCAAAGTTCGTGAAATTAGTGCCTTCTCCGAGGGAAGGCATTAATGATCACGAGTGTACAAAAAGAATTTCTAAATAAATTATTATTTATTTATTTTTTTGTCATTTTAGGCCACGAAACCCTATGATGTAGGCGCATTGCGCCTGCTTCTCTGACTGATTTTTTTTATTTAATTTATTAGAAAAAAATTCTATATTAGTTTTCTAACCCACTTCGAGTGCGATTCCATCCCTTATAGTAGAAATCGATTAATTTCAATTAAAAACAATTAAAAACTTTCTTTATTGTTGTTAATTGCGTTTCACACTTTTGCGAATAGTTATTTTTGCAAAAAAGCCATTTTTGCGAAATCTGATTGTTGCGAACAGTCATTTTTACGAAAAGCCATTTTTGCAAATAGTTATTTTTTGCGAAAAGTCATTTTTACGAATTGTCATTTTTGCGAAAGGTCATTTTTGAGAAATGTCATTTCTGCGAATTGTCACTTTTGCGAATCGACATTTTTACGAATTGTCACTTTTCCGAAAAGTCATTTTTGCGAAAAATACTATATAGTAGAGACTCCATTATCCGGACCCCTATTATCCGGACAAATTTAAAATTAAAAATTTTGTTTTAATATAAAGTTTATAAGGTCTCAAGCCGTTAATTAACTTCTATTTTAAATTTATTTACACGAAATGTTGCGTTTTAAAGTGTTTTAATTATTTTAAGAAAATGTTTATATATGTAAATATTTTGAAATATTTCTAATTAAATATTTATTAATGTTGACTTTAATTAAAAGTTTTAGTTTGTTTCAGTCTTATTTTAATACATATGCAAATAAATACATAAAATTATGAATCAAAAATTTGTTTAATTCGTACTTTACTCGATTATCCGGATTTTCAATTATCCAGACAACCCAGTAAGAAGCGAGGAATTGAAAAGGATTGAAATAATTTATTCAAACTCTGTATGGTGTAGTAGAAATTATCCAATACTTTTGAATGCCATTTCTGTCCAATACTTTTCTATACCATGATAGGACCACGTTTCGTCTAAAAATGAATGCTATTCAATATTCTTTTTGTAATTGTTAACAAAGACAAAATTTTTTTCTAAATGCTTTCCAATCCCATCCGAAATTATTACAGCCTGTCATTACATCACTTTTCAATTTTTCATTGGAACCGCGTTTCTGCATGCATTCAAGCAATCTTCTGGATTTTTGTAATTTATAAGATACATACATTGGCAGATTTTGTAAAAAGTGTTTGTGTTCAAAGAAAAACTTGCTGAAAAATTGATTGTTTACCAATTTTACGTCATTTAAACGAGTCAGGGCCGTTATTCTGTTAGACAATAAATCATAACCTAAAAATTTCAGAGACCTTTAAACACTTTTAACCCTCTTAACTGATAGTTTAATAATTATTCCTTTTTAAAATAGCAAATAAAGTCATGAGTGCAGTTATTTGAAAGTAATTAAACATTCTATGCAATGTCAACAATATTAGTATTATATTATTATACTATATTTGTATGAGCATTTGAAAGGATTGAAATTGTAAACTTTTCAACTACTGTCGCGGAATTCAGAAGCATAGGACAGAATTGGAATTCAAAAGGATAGAATTTTTTTAATGCTTCTTAATCTTTACTTTCTTACTGGGAAGTGACTTTCGAATTGCTCGACTCGACTCAATTTTCGAATAAAGTCGGCCATTAGGTCAAACATTTGTATTATTTAATTAATTAACATTTATATTTTTTATTTAAATAATTAAATAATTGTTATTTTACATATACCCAGTAAGAAATTTCTCACCGGTCTAATATCGCTCCAATATTGGGAGCCAAGAGACCGATCATCGGTCCAATAAAGGCTCCCAATATTGGACCAATATGGGCTGATGCTTGGGATGTAACGGCATCGCCAATCATCGGTTGTCAATATTGGTCCAATATTGGCCGAATATTGGCAACCAAGAGAAAAAAATTTTTTTAAATAAATTTTTTTTAATTAAATAATAATAATAAAAAATTAATGTTTATAATTTTTGTTTAATATATTTATTTGTTTAATTATTTATTTTTAATAATTCATGTAAATAATAAATAATTTATTATTTATAAATTATAATTATTTAAAAATGCAGCAGCTATTAGAAAATAGCATTCTGCAAAAAAATTCTATCATTGAAAAATCAATGATAGGCGAGAGAAATCCGCGTCTTTAAATAGATTCGCAGATGATAGACAAGAGATATCCGCGTCATTAAACGGATTCGCAGATATACTCTGGTCTCGCGACGAATCTCTCGATACTTATATACACTGGAGTCGCCGTGTCAGTTGCGAGAACGGTTACAGCGTCCCTCTTGCGGCAGAGATAAGAATTGTCACGTAAACTGCGGGTATAATAAGGCCGTCGGTAAAGCGATTTAGCTGTGTAACGAGCGACTATTATCTCGCTCGAATCGTGATTCGATATTAATCGAAATGCGATTAAAAGTCGCGGGAAAATATAATATTAATTTTATATTTAAAATAATATCCTGTCCATAGATTGAGAAGAACTTTCTGCGTTCGATTTAGTAAATATGTTCCTAAAATATTGTATTCTTCAAATATCTCTCTATCAATAGCCGAAATATAACAAAAGATGAAATACATATGTTTCGCAGACACAGTATGTCTTTGAAAATATCGCTACAAAAAATAGTAAGGTTTAAACACATTTCCAGCAATATGAGTTTGTGTATTGTCACTCTGAAGACAATATACCCTTAAAACTCAAACACAATTGTCAACCATAAACTAAGAGAGATAACCCCAAAGATGTTATAAAAAACTGTCTTTCAATTCTCAAGTAGACCCTCTTTGGAGGTAAAACCATAAAACACATCGGTTGACCAACGTACATTTTATCCTTTTTCTCAGGATAAAATCACGTACTGGAAAAACCCAGTTTTCAATACTTTTTAGAAATGTTAATTATTCCACTACTTTTATAAATAATTGTAATTTGCATATTACATTATTTCTATCAATCTAACATCTAATCAATTATTATAATATAATTGATAATGAATTAAGACTTGTAAATAAACTACATTCAAGCTTTATAGTTAAACAATTAATTTGTTATAACTATCATGACCATCAACTATGTATAATTCTATATAATATTTACTATATTTGTAACACGTATGTGTCATGTACAGGTGTAAATATAATTATTATAAATATAAATATTATTATTAGAATGTATGCATGTGTATATATATATTGAAATAATTATCATGTGATAATTATTGGAATCATAATGTTATGATGAATGTGTATGTATCAACATCGACAAGTATGACGTATGAGTCAGTATTAGTATTAGTGAAGTGCATAAATGTATCTACTATATAGTGGGGATACTACTATACTATACTATACTACTGTATAGTGGGGGATGCGCGTCATTTAGAACATGCGCATTTCCTCCAACATGGACTAACAGCGGAGAACAAGTCCGCTGGACTGTAACTACAGATTAGATTTAAGTTGACTATTGACTAGAAAGGTTGCTTCTAAGCTTCCTTAGTCATAACTTGTATTCTTGAACTTTTAGTAAATAAATTATTTGGGTTTACTCTCAAGAAGACTGATTTCCTTCAATAATTAATGTTATTAATTATTGAATGATTTATTCTACTTGTGAGCTTTTTCCCTCCGTTTTAACGGAATATTCACGTTTATTATTTGAAATTTCCCGGTTCCTATCAAGGATTTAACCAAATTCTGAACTCAACGAATCACCGAGCAGTAATCGCGTTTGCGCGAGTAATTTACATTTGTGCTCGTAACATCTGTGACGAGCGACTGCCATCTCGCTCGTTAACTTTTCGATATATCGATTAACGAGTTATCGAAGCGCGAAACAATGAAATTTCGTTAATAATCTAATTATTTTAGGATTTTCTTACGACTTTTGACAAATATTGACGAGACTAAACAAAAAAGTTTGACTATTGTAAAATATAATACTTCACGGTTTAATAGTTTCCAAATTCCAAAAATGTATTTGAAAATCAACATTTCTTAGAATTGTCATAAATCAAGTGGAATCCCAGGTGCGATTTTTTGGTCGGCCCATAGTTGGGCCAACTTTTACAAAGTCGGTCCAACTTCTCGTGCCAGAGGTTGGGCCAACCATACAGATGATAACGGCGACCGTCTAATGGCGACGATGGTTGGCCCGACAACACATAAGGAAGTTGGCCCAACTTACAATGCATATGTTGTGCCAACTATACATTTCAATGGTTGGTCCAAAGACTGACGCCAAAGTTGGCACAACTTTAGATGCGTAAGTTGGGCCAACCACAATTTTCAAAGTTTGGCCAACTTCAACAGCCAAAG